TGGTGAGCCTCCCCCTGCCTTGGGTGGCACCTGGGAGACATCCTGGGAGGGGGACACCCACTCCAGGTCAGGGTTGGCAGCCCTTGAGATGGTGCTGGCCTCACCCAGCGCCTTTCTCCTCCTCTGCCTTGATATCCCCCCAGCACTCAGCACTGGGCCACGATGGGTGTCTTCAGTCCTGAATCCACACTGGAGGGGAAGAGACTGACCTCCCCTCCAAGGATGTGATGGGGCTACTCGAAATAGGGGCAGGTTTGGGGTGCTCCTCCTTAGCTCTGGTGTACGCCTGCCTCAGCTCCTTAATCTTCGTGCGCACTTACTCCTGCACGTGCATGTGTCCCCTCTGTGCAAGGCGTGCGGACATCCACCCGTAAATGTCAGCATTCCATCGTCTGGCGTGAAGATCCTGTTGATTCTCCTCCCCCAGATCTCCAGGAGATCCAGGATCTCTGCACCAGACCAGGATGGGCTCTCTTCTTCTGCCCCTGGCCAGGGGCTTGAGAGCTGCCCGGAGCTGTGGTGGCAGTTGCTGGGGTCTCGGTTGGGGCATTGGGTTCAGCCACGACAGCAGGGAGTGAAGATGGGGCTGCTGTGGTTGGCACCGGCCTTGCAGGGCCTGCTCCGAGCCATGAGCCTGCTGCCTGCAGCTTTACGGACTGCAGGGGAAGGAGGGCTATAGACGACAGCACAGCCAGCAGGGCATCATGGGATTCCATCGAGGCCCCTTATTTTGGAATAACTGTCTCCACATGGACTATTTTGAAAGAGCTATTCCAAAATAGGCATTATTCCTCAGACATTGAGGGCTTGCTGTGAGGACGCTCACTTTGTTATTTCGAAATAACGCTGCTGCGGAGACCCGCCTTATAGAGACAACCCTTAGTCAAGAGAGGTTTGAAAATAAGACTCTGATGAAAACAGATGGAGAAAAGTTTCCAGGATTGAAAAAGGGGGAAATTTGCCTTTGATTGCCTTGAACCAAACTCCATGGTCAATTTAATGCTCATACCTGTATCATTAATCATCTGAAAGGGAAAGCTTAGATGCAGGGGCAGATGACTGTTTTGCGGGGCCCCGGGCAGCATAACTCCGCGGGGCCCCCCACGGGGCTTTTTTAAGCATGGGGCCCGGGGTGGCTGCCCAGTTTGCCCTGCCCTATATCCGCCCCTGCTTAGATGAAGACTGGTGGCAGGGAATATGTGCTACCCAGCCTCATAGATAAATATATAAAGCACAAAGCGTTTAGTTTGCTCCAGTGTTTCACTTCTGTTAATAGTGAGAAAAACAAATATTCAGATCCAACCTTGACAAAATATATAAGCTCAGTGTAAGATACACAAATTCATTTTCTTCAGCATTTTACTTCAAATCAGCATCAAATCCAACTTGGATTCACAATGAAGACTCTTGTAAGTACTTTTGACACCCTATATATATATATATTTTACAGTGTGTTTGTCTGTGAGTCCAACTCCTCCTACGTGGTAAGAACTAGGGCTACCAACTTTGGGATGCAGCTTCCTCTTCTCCTAACTTAAAGCAAGGTCGGGGTTTGGTTGTGCCAGGAAAACGGGATGATAGGTTTCCATAACATGGAAAGGGAGGGGGGCAAGAGGAGGGACAAGATCCTCACACTCACCACTCAGGGCAGTGAGTGCAGGGGAGAGCTATATATGCAGGGTGACTGCTAGAGATCACCCTGCATATATAGAGACTGGTCAGCAGGGCTGAGGCTCCACCGTCTTGCCTGCCACTGGTAAGTGGCCTCCCTCCCCAAGCCCTGGGCTAGGACTCCCCAACGTCCCTGGCCAGGCACTGGGCCAGCCCCTCTACTGGCCCTGGGTCAGACCCGGGCAGCACCAGGGAAGTCCGTTTATATTTTTAGTATATGTTGGTCCCGATTCTGGGTCCTTTTGAGAGTTCACATTGAAGTTGGTGGGATCGATAAGACAAGCTATAAGAAAATGGGAGATGGGTGTGGGAAGGGGCTCAGCACCTTACAAATCAGGGCTCTTTGGCCTCATTTTTCACTATCAGTGGCCACTACTTTGAGCTGCCCCAACTTTTGTGAAACCAACTGGATTCCGTGAATGCCTGATTCTGAGAGGTGCCAAGCACCCACTCGCAAGCTGAGTCAACAGGGCCCAGATTTACAAAGGGATTTCCAGACCCCGAGATGAAGATGGGCGCCCAATAGATGTTATAAAAGCTCCTAAACCGGAGAGGTGTCCAACTTCCATAGAAAGTCAATGGGAATTAGCTACCTTTTGGGAAGGCCCCAATTCGGCAACGACATATCAGGGTACAATTCTGTCTTTATTGTAGTCGCTGGCAAAACTTCCACTGACTTCTATAGGACCTGAATTTTGTGCTGTATCCTGAAGCCCTTACTACCTTTGCTGAGTGATGACTGATGCCCTCATCCTGAGAACCCAGGGCATTAACCTTGAGGCTAATAAGGCCATAGCCTTAGGCCCTCCTGTTGCTTAGGCCCTACTGGTCAGGCCTGGCGGGCTGGGCCGGGTGAGGGAGGTGAAGCGAGCATGTTCACATAGCCCTGCTGGAGCCAGCGGGAAAGGCAAAGCAGCCCTCTGTGGCTTAGAAGGAGCATTCGGCAGCAGCCTGTCGCTTTTGTGCCCTCCAGTCTGTGTCTCTTCCTGCGCTGCTGCAGGAATACACGGTCAGGTATCCGGTTAAGAGGAGTGACGGGACATGAAAAATCTGGGAGCCCGTGGCAGCTGTGGGCTAGTCTGAGCAGGCATCGTGCCCCCGCCGGCGCCTCTCGCCCTGATTGCACCGCTGCTGTGCTTCGCTGGCAGGGAGGAACAAGGCTCCTTTGCCCATTGCCAGCATTTCTATGTGTGCCGGGTCCGTTTCTGGGCAAGGGGTGAGTGCCTGTGGGGGCAGGGCGAGGGAGCGCTGGAGGAAAGGGGCAGCGCACACCAGAGCAGCAGGGTGGGAAGCTCACACGGAACCTGCACACGCTATCCAGCTAGAACTATTCCCTCCACCCTGCCTCCCTCCCAGAAGGAATGAATTCCCCATGTGAGGAAAAACAAAACACGCCACTCTGCATTCCAGTGCTTTTACTCATGGAGTACCTTCCCCGAGGGGTGCAGATTTATGATGCCCTCTGTTCAGTACTGAACTCTGTACTAAAAATCAGAGAAATCCACTTTCTTGGTATTTTTCTTTACTGGTTCACAGGTAATCAAGCTCTTTCCTTATGCTCAGCCTATTTCCTCAGGCCAACGCATTTTTGTACTTCTAAGGGGTGGCCAAAGCACTGCAGGGAGCTCAGCACACAATGTTGAAGGTTTCTCCCTCCCCAGGCTCTCCCTCCAGGATTGTGTTTCACTTCTGTTAATAGTGAGAAAAACAAATATTCAGATCCAACCTTGACAAAATATATAAGCTCAGTGTAAGATACACAAATTCATTTTCTTCAGCATTTTACTTCAAATCAGCATCAAATCCAACTTGGATTCACAATGAAGACTCTTGTAAGTACTTTTGACACCCTATATATATATATATTTTACAGTGTGTTTGTCTGTGAGTCCAACTCCTCCTACGTGGTAAGAACTAGGGCTACCAACTTTGGGATGCAGCTTCCTCTTCTCCTAACTTAAAGCAAGGTCGGGGTTTGGTTGTGCCAGGAAAACGGGATGATAGGTTTCCATAACATGGAAAGGGAGGGGGGCAAGAGGAGGGACAAGATCCTCACACTCACCACTCAGGGCAGTGAGTGCAGGGGAGAGCTATATATGCAGGGTGACTGCTAGAGATCACCCTGCATATATAGAGACTGGTCAGCAGGGCTGAGGCTCCACCGTCTTGCCTGCCACTGGTAAGTGGCCTCCCTCCCCAAGCCCTGGGCTAGGACTCCCCAACGTCCCTGGCCAGGCACTGGGCCAGCCCCTCTACTGGCCCTGGGTCAGACCCGGGCAGCACCAGGGAAGTCCGTTTATATTTTTAGTATATGTTGGTCCCGATTCTGGGTCCTTTTGAGAGTTCACATTGAAGTTGGTGGGATCGATAAGACAAGCTATAAGAAAATGGGAGATGGGTGTGGGAAGGGGCTCAGCACCTTACAAATCAGGGCTCTTTGGCCTCATTTTTCACTATCAGTGGCCACTACTTTGAGCTGCCCCAACTTTTGTGAAACCAACTGGATTCCGTGAATGCCTGATTCTGAGAGGTGCCAAGCACCCACTCGCAAGCTGAGTCAACAGGGCCCAGATTTACAAAGGGATTTCCAGACCCCGAGATGAAGATGGGCGCCCAATAGATGTTATAAAAGCTCCTAAACCGGAGAGGTGTCCAACTTCCATAGAAAGTCAATGGGAATTAGCTACCTTTTGGGAAGGCCCCAATTCGGCAACGACATATCAGGGTACAATTCTGTCTTTATTGTAGTCGCTGGCAAAACTTCCACTGACTTCTATAGGACCTGAATTTTGTGCTGTATCCTGAAGCCCTTACTACCTTTGCTGAGTGATGACTGATGCCCTCATCCTGAGAACCCAGGGCATTAACCTTGAGGCTAATAAGGCCATAGCCTTAGGCCCTCCTGTTGCTTAGGCCCTACTGGTCAGGCCTGGCGGGCTGGGCCGGGTGAGGGAGGTGAAGCGAGCATGTTCACATAGCCCTGCTGGAGCCAGCGGGAAAGGCAAAGCAGCCCTCTGTGGCTTAGAAGGAGCATTCGGCAGCAGCCTGTCGCTTTTGTGCCCTCCAGTCTGTGTCTCTTCCTGCGCTGCTGCAGGAATACACGGTCAGGTATCCGGTTAAGAGGAGTGACGGGACATGAAAAATCTGGGAGCCCGTGGCAGCTGTGGGCTAGTCTGAGCAGGCATCGTGCCCCCGCCGGCGCCTCTCGCCCTGATTGCACCGCTGCTGTGCTTCGCTGGCAGGGAGGAACAAGGCTCCTTTGCCCATTGCCAGCATTTCTATGTGTGCCGGGTCCGTTTCTGGGCAAGGGGTGAGTGCCTGTGGGGGCAGGGCGAGGGAGCGCTGGAGGAAAGGGGCAGCGCACACCAGAGCAGCAGGGTGGGAAGCTCACACGGAACCTGCACACGCTATCCAGCTAGAACTATTCCCTCCACCCTGCCTCCCTCCCAGAAGGAATGAATTCCCCATGTGAGGAAAAACAAAACACGCCACTCTGCATTCCAGTGCTTTTACTCATGGAGTACCTTCCCCGAGGGGTGCAGATTTATGATGCCCTCTGTTCAGTACTGAACTCTGTACTAAAAATCAGAGAAATCCACTTTCTTGGTATTTTTCTTTACTGGTTCACAGGTAATCAAGCTCTTTCCTTATGCTCAGCCTATTTCCTCAGGCCAACGCATTTTTGTACTTCTAAGGGGTGGCCAAAGCACTGCAGGGAGCTCAGCACACAATGTTGAAGGTTTCTCCCTCCCCAGGCTCTCCCTCCAGGATTTTAAATTCACTTCTTAGCAGGCTGTGATGGCTGTGCTGGCTGAATATGCCAAGACAGGGCTGTATCAGTTTGCTGCATCTCTAGCTATTCAGTCCATCAGAGAAGTACCTCTGATTGGATTTCTTTTGCGTTTCATTCCAAAAAATCTAAATCAACCTGATGTTAGTCCTCAATTTTCTGCCCCAACTCAAACTACCTTATCTCCCAAGTAGAAAATGTCGGGTAAGCATGGAATGTGTGTGATTCGAGACGGGAATGAGAATAAAGCCAAATTCCTGTTGACAGCTACGCCTTTGTAGCCTTATTGACTTCAGGCCAGAGTCTGGGAGAACAGGTTTTTGCACAAGAATAGATTTTGGTCGCTTCTGCTTTTTCACACCTGGATAAACAGAATCTCATTCACTTTCCTCACCTAAACTCTGAGCACTCTAACGAAAAAATAAACAAGAGCTGAAGTCTATTTGGGTATGTCTACACTAGCCCCCTAGTGTAGGCATTCGAACTTGCAAATGAAGCCTGGGATTTAAATATCCCGGGCTTTATTTGCGGGTTCCTGGGTGGGTGCCATTTTTAAATCCCTTTAGTTCGAACTGACTGCCCGCGGCTACACGCCTTAGTTCGGATTAACTGTTACTCCTCCTGCAATGAGGTGTAACAGTTAATCCGAACTAAGAACTTAGTTCGGATTAACTTCTGACTGCTGCATGTAGCCGCGGGTGCAGAGTTCGAACTAAGGGGATTTAAAAATGGAGGCGCCCGGGAAGATGCAAATGAAGCCCAGGATATTTAAATCCCGGGCTTCATTTGCAAGTTCGAATGCCTACATTAGCCACCATAGTTCGAACTAGGGGGCTAGTGTAGACATACCCTTTGATCCTTTGTTTTACACCAGTCTAGTAAACAAACAAACCCAGGCCTGATGGGTGTCACCACAGCAGCCTTGATTGTGTAAGGCAGAGGTCTCCAACCTTTTTAACCACAAGATCACTTACTCAATTTAAGTGCAATGTAAGATCCACCTCCAACCCAAATACCCTTGCCTGGCTTCCTTCCTTCCTTTTCTGGGGCCCTGCCCCTCCTCCACCCCTTCTCTGAGGCCTCACCCTGCTCATTCTGTTGCCCTTCCTCTCTGAATTTCATTCACTTTCACCAGGCTGGAGTAGGGGTACAGGCTCTAGTCTTGGGTGTGTGGTAAATGCCCTATCCCCATGGCCAGTGTTTCTCAATCTTTTTTTTTTTTTTAAATACCTCTTTAAAAAAAAAAGAAAAAATTTATAAGTGCCCCCAATACCTGCAGGTTTCTCACACAATTTTTTGAAACCTTTGCAACACGTTTGTTTAAACAACTTAATTGTAGCCGGGTGAGTGATGAAATATTTGAGTGTAAAACGTACAAAATTAATAAAATGCTGTAAAACTTAAAACAAAAATTCAGTTTTCTCCAAATTTCAGTTGTGTTGATGTACCCCTCAGACTTCTCTTGAGTGCCCCTAGGGGTGCATATACCACTGGTTGAGAGGCATTGCCCTAGGCAAAGCCACAGCCCGGCCCTCCCCAGTGGCCGCCGGGACACCCAGGGTTGCCTACCCCCTGTGAGACAGGGGTTGGTGAGCAGAGCGAGCAGGGGACACAGCCCCCTAGTATCAACAAAGCAAAAAGCTATACTTGATAAAGCATACTTGGTTTCTAGGTGTTTTAAGCAACTGAGAAAAGAACAATTTAAAAACACAGAGAAATTCCATCCTTGGGATACAGCTTAAAGTACTGTGGGAGGTGGGGGGAAGGGAAGGACGAGCCACATGGACTAAGCACAGAGAAGTTTAATCAAACTACAAAACAAAGAAAATAACTTGATTACATCTAAATAGATATTTCCCTATCTACTCACAATCTGTGCGTCAGCGTCCAGTCCATTAACATGCCCAGTGTTCCTTGTAGCCATGGAAGTTCTGCCTGGTTCAATTCATTTTGTTCCCCAACTCCTGTCTTAAACTCACACAAATTAAAAATCATCAGGCAGGTATATCTTCCATTCAAATCTCAATACCTTCTCCCATTGGCTCTCCTTGCTCCCTGCCAATATCCTCTAGCTACCTGAATGTAACCCTTTAGTTACCAGTTGCTGGGATGTTCAGAAAAGGCCAGCACTCCTCCCATCCAACAGAATCTTAATCTGGCACTGCCCATGGGACTAAACATATGAATAAACTTAAGCACATGCCTAAAGTGTGCGCAGTGGGATGACCAGTGTGTGGTATGCAGGATTTGACACAAGGGTTTTTTTTAAAGCTCTGTAAATAATCAAGAACACTGTATGGGATGCCAAGCAATTATAACATACTTTAAATATTTTAGGAGACAGGACATGACACTTAATTAACGGTAACAATAGAATCACTCTGGAATTTCCCTTCAGTGACAGAGATCAGAACCTAGCTTTATAGTGTTAGGACCATCCTAAATACAGTTGTACTATGTAGCTCTTGTGAATACAAAAGATAAAATAAATGAATTATAAAATCCCACTCACTAACGTATGTGTGTTTATGGAAAATCAGACTGGGGAGCAGCATCTTACCATGTGCTTTTAGTTGTCTTTGACAATTAAAAAGGAGCTGCAGAGCGTATAGAAATCTCTCTTAATGTTTCCATGATGTATTACAGATTCTTCTTGTCTTTCTGAGTACCTTTATGAATCCGGCATTTGCAAACAATGTAAGTAAAGTGCCATGTGTCACACTTTATGATCTTTCTTTCATGCATCTGCTTTGCCATATTGTTATGACATTACTATCTTTACTAAACCAAAATACGGACTTTTCTTTATGAGGCATTCTCTGTTAATATGTTCAGTGAATTGATGTAACACATTTATGACAATGTTTTCATTAAACGCTCCATGCTCCAGCTATTGCTTAGCATGTCAAAATCAGCATCCAAAAGCAGAAAAATCATTTGTTCTTATGAAAAATGTAGCATTGTCAAGTTATATAAACTAAAGTTGCGTTCTCCCAGTGCTTTTCTTTATTATAACTGGGCTCACCGGTGAACATAATAGTCTGTGAGCTTGCTTGCTTTAAAGTATTTACCTGTGTTTCTGCTATTTAGTTAATTAATAAATGGCTTCATTAATAGATGAAATCTCATGCACACTTGAGACTAGGGCTAGACTAACAGGTGGGTGCCTGCTGTGAGCTATCTGGAGGGTTCATCCTCAAAGTTTTGCCTTTTAATCTACATGGCCTGAGATGATCTTGCCTGGGAAATCTAAGGCACCATTCCTTAGAACCCAGTGGAAAAAGCTAGTTCTGCTATCAATGGGCCAGACTTCCTATGTTTTCATAACCAATGGTTCCATTGGTAGAGGGAGTCAAAGCAGCAATTCACCAGCTTTTTCATAATGTTGGTCACATCTTAATGGAGGGGTCTGTTTGTGGCAGCCTCTGCTGCCCTTCTTCATTACATAAACCACCACCCATTTCATGAATGGTCATATAGAAATAGGGAAAAGGCTTGATCATCATATGACCAATAAAGCCTTTGGGCTTCAGCAGTTACTCAGTAGACCAGGGAAAAGCTGGGTCAATCTGAGCGCTAACCCTAAACCAAGCAATACCCAGAACTTTAGGCTTAGCCTTCAGGCAAGGAATAACCCTAACCTAATCTAACTCCTGGCCCAAATGGTAAATACAAACCTGACTATAATCATAACCCTAGATCAAATTCTAACCTCACTCAAAGGGTGAGTGGGGCAGTTGTTTAGAAGTGGAGGCAAAACTGAATCAGACATTTCCCTACCGCTGGGTGAGCTAACGCCGAGTTGAACTTTTATGTATCAGTTTTGCTTCCCTACTATTCTGATGTCACCATTCGTTTCTGTTAGATGCAACTGCTGAGAGAGACATTCTTAGGTTGAGATATAATAATATCTGATAATAAATCTTTGATTTTAGGTTGTCCAGCTCATAAATAAGGGAAATGATGGAGGTACTGTCTATCAGACAGTGAATATCAACCATGATGTGAACATTGTTACATTTAACGTTTATTCTGGAGCACATTCCTCCAATGCAATCTTTGACTACGACCATGTAAGTGTCAAAAGAGGAGCTGATCTGGTTGCTTTGTTCATCTTACACACTGTTTGTTGCAAAAAGAATAAAATTATGGACCGTCAGCATCTGGAAAGATGTGCATAATTCCTCCGCTTCATTAGGAAGGAATAGCATTAGACTTGAAAACAAAAGGGATCATTCATCCATAATAAAAAGATGTAGTAATTGCATCTTTGTAGCTCATGCAGAAAGAAGTTACCTCCTGGTTAAATTCTTAAGATTATTTTGTCAAAACCCACAGTGGATATTATCATATATATAGTAGCCCAGTGTCTATGAGGGTATGTCTACACTACCCCGCTAGTTCGAACTAGCGGGGTAGTGTAGACATACCCTCATAGACACTGGGCTACTATATATATGATTCTTACCAACAACCACAGGACATACCACACTAATGCCAACCCTGGAACTTTCCCTTGCAACAAACCCCATTGCGAGCTTTGTCCACATATTTACTTTGCTGACACCATATTTGGACCTAACCATTTCAGTTATAAGATCAAGAACACATATTCCTGCTCATCCAGAAATATAATTTATGCCATCATGTGCCAACAGTGTCCGTCTGCTATGTATATTGGACAAACTTCTTAGACACTTTGCCTAAGAATCAATGCACACAAAACAGACATCAGACAGTTTCACAAAGAAAAAACAGTTTCTTGCCATTTCAACCAGA